GGAAGCGACGCCACCGGTTCTTGCTCATGAAGCGCCGCCGCCACCGAGGAACAAAGTTAGAAGACAAGTGAGAGCAGTCCCGGTGTGTGGGGGGTTCTGCCGTTCACTCCCGTCCCCTAGTCATCATCTTCCACCGGCCGCCGCCGCCGCCGCCGCGGCCGCCGATGCCGCCGATGCTGCTGCAGACGCTTTCGCTGCCGCAATGCCGGCCTTCGCCACCACCGCTGCCGCCGCCGCCCCGGCCGCTTCCGCCCGGGCGGCCCGCGGCCGCCTCCCTCGCACAGTCTTCGAAGCTGTGGGCCCCCCCATGCCACGCCTCCTCTCGCAGCACAAGCGGGGGACGCAAGAAAAAGAAAAAACAGCACGAGTTGGGAGGACTTTTCAGCATCCATTTTTTTTCTTCTGTTCTTTGATTTCTACAAGTTTGGAGGGCGGAAAGGACCCTATTATTGGGCAGTTGGCCTGTGACGATGGAATGGCGTCCGCATCAGTGGGGCCAGTACGGACATCAGGAGGTTCTGAGTGGAGACTGGAACGCTTTTTGTAATTGACAAGGCAACAGCATCCAACAACAATAACAACAATAACAACCAACAACAACACCTACAACACCAACAACAACACTACCCCCAACACACCACCACCACCGCCACCACCGCCACCACCACCACCACCGCCACCACCACCACCACCACCACCACCAACAACAACAACAACAACAACAACAACAACAACAACCAACACACCACCACCACCGCCACCACCACCACCACCACCACCAACAACAACAACAACAACATCTCACCCCCTCGCCTTCGGACCGCCTGGGCGACCAACGACAACCAGGCGCCGATGGTTAGCCCCGACCAGGTCCACGCTCTCCAGCCTATCCGGCTTGTCGAAGACGCTGCTGAATGCCAGCCGTTGCAGCGAAGGAGGAAGCTTGAGCAGCTGCACTGGTTGGCTGAAGTAGTGTCCCAGCACGAGCCTTCGCCAAGAATATGGGCACGCGAGGTTGTTCGAATATTATGTTTGGTGTTCGATTTGGCGTTTTGTCTTTTCGTGAGATTGTGTACGGAAAACAACAAACAATAACAACAGCAGCAGCAACAACAACAACAACAACAACAATAGCAGTTGTCACCTCTCGAGCCTGGGCGGCCACGTGACCCCCTCGATCGGCTTGTCGAAGCAGGTGCCGAACTCGAGGACCCTTAGGTTGGGAGGCCACTTCACTAGCTCCACGTTGCGGTCGAAGCGCTGGCGGAACGTGAGGTGCTCGAGGGAGGCCGGCCACCTTGATTTCTCGATCTCTTGGTTGAAACTCGATCCGAACTGAAGCACCTGCTGGGGTTGAGGGGTTTGCGTTTAATACGTTTCATCATCCATGCGTTTGCTGTGCCAACCAGATATGCCATGGGTTGATTGGGCATCCTGGCCAACCAAACATCTGGGGGGGGGGGGTTGTTGTCCTCTACTGGGAGGTACAGCAGACTCCAGAAAGGGCCGGAGGGGGTGGCAGGAGGGGGTGTACTCATAGCCGTGCATGCTGCAGTCGTTACATCATTACCTTTGCAGCCCTACAATGGCCGGACGGAACTATATGCCGAGATTTCTCCGCCCAAGGTTAACGATGTGTGTGCTCATGTAAACGCATGCCGTAGTCGTTAGACCGTTGACCTCGGGTCCCTACAAAGCCGGGACGGAGCACGCCGGGTTTTCACCGGACCAGGGTATCACATCACCAAGGTCGAGGCGTCGTGAGGTATTCGGCGAGTCGTACGGAGGATGCGCTGCATCCTGCTAAGGGGGGTAATTGCCGCGGATCCCACGCCGCCAACCACAAGACACGACTGGAATTTTTATCTGCACGCGCATGCCCGTGGAGAGGGAGAGAGCGAGCGCGTGCTTGCGACGTCAAACCAGGGGCCACGCAGAGAGCCCGCGAACCAATCTACATGCAGCCTGTCTGCGCCTGCCGTGTCTGTGCCTGCCGCGATGTTTTCGCTTCCGTCGTAGCTGTTGCGTCATTTTTTCTCGTGTGGCGTTGATTCGTTCACGTTAATACCAAAAACGAAAAAAGACTAAAAACGATAACGTACATGCATAAGTCCCTTCGGGTGTCCATTTTCCTTTTAGTGTAAGTTAGTTTGTGACCACGGGAATCGACCGCGTCACGTGTTAGACAGAACGGACAGACAGATGTTAGAGAGATCGGCACGGTTATTATTGTGAAGACAACAACACCACCAACACCAACAACAACAATAATCCGATGCACAAGATGGTCACCAATCTGTCTTGTAGAGCCCGTTACCCGCAGGAGAAATACAGCTATATGCTGCTCAGGGAATCGTAGAGATACAGGTACAGTAGTGCCTCCGCTAAAAGTATGGATTCACTCTTCTAATTCATCCTAGACTCTTGTCTATACATTATACATGTATGGATAGAGACGCACACGTAGTGCTCAGAAAAAAAGAAAAAAACACAGCGACACATGCACGCACCCTCAGCGAGCCCGGCCAGCGAACTGCCTCCACCGGCTGGTTGAAAGAGTCCCCGAAAATGATTCTACGGAGCCCCTGCGGCCACCGGGTCCTCTCAATCGGCTGATTGAAAGACCTGCCCAGGTCGAGCGATCTCAGCCCTTCCGGGAGCTCCGCGCTATCAAGGCTGCAGTTGTAGTACCCGCCGAACTTGAGGTCTTCCAGCCCGGTCGGGAAAGTGACGCCTGCGAGAGGCTGGAAAACCGCCGCCGGGGGAGGGGGGGGGGTGACGCTTGCATAGATGATTCGCAAACAAGGACGGTTGGAGTGCGACGATCTCACGAAGGCGCAAGCTGGTGGCCGTGTGTGTGTCTTTTTTTATTAGCATCGACCGCGCTAACCGGCTGACCAATGAAATGACAACTACGGTTAAAAACACAAAACGCTTCTAAATGCCATGTACCCCGTGAGGGGGCAGCATGGGGGGGGCTAAACTATCCTTCGGATCAATGTGTGTGTGTGTGTGTTTTCGCCTCATCTAATCTGGCGTCAGCCTACACCACGTAGACGTATGCCGCGTGAACTGCACTTCAGTCGAAACGTATTCTGGTCTAACCCTGGTATGCCCAGCTAGTCCATGCACATGTAGTGCGGTTGGGACGAATCGAGCTACAACGCCCTCCCTGACGCCGTAGCGAACTACTGCCTGCTGTCAACAAGCCAGCTGACCATGCCGTCGAGACCCTGCGCCTTGGGTAGAAGCAAGGCAATGAAAACAAAATGTATCGACCCTTGCTTAGAGACCACGTACACACACAAAACTTCAAAGTACCGGTGGTGGCAAATTTTCTCAACAATGAGGGGTGGACCCGAGATGGTGGAACTTTGCACGCTAGAATTGAAACGCGAGCACTCAAGAAGCTTTGCTGAAATGAAAAAGGGAACAAAAAAAAAGGGTGAGGAAACATGTGATGCAATGGGTGGCTTCCCTGAGGACAGGAGCTATTTCTTTCAAATTTCCAAATTCCGACTCTTCAGATTTAAAAAAAAAATGGATGCGGTGCCCGTCGGTACCACGCTTCCAAATATACAAGCTTTTTCCTCGGCCGCAAATCGAAGTTTTATGGTCTACCACGGATTTGGAGTTTGGAAAATTGGACACAAGATAGTTTTTCTTCGGCCGCAAATCGAGGTTCTATGGTCTACCACGGATTTGAAAATTTGGAAATTTGGGGGCAAAATACCTGCCGAAAGAGGTGCCCGAACGTAAGGTGCTTGAGGCCTTCCGGCCAGACTACCCCCGTTATAGGCCTGCGGAACAGGTCGCCGAAACAGATCTCGCTTATGGTGGAAGGCCAACGGACCTTCGCCAATGTCCTGAGCGAGGAAAGAGTTTCGACACATCGGGGGACGGGGGCCAAGGAGGCAATGAGGCGGGCGGTGGGGAGGGACAAGGTGGAGAGCGTTGGGACAAAGCTGGTTGAACGAACGTCCTTGGCGGGAAATAGTTTGGGCATCAGGACACGGGGTTTTAACCGCGGTGTTGACTCGCTCTCCTAGGCAGGCGCGTGGTCGCATCAGGGGCGAGATCCTTCCCTCAGAAAAGGGGGGGGGGGGGGGGGCTTGCGAAAGCCCTGCCCCCTGTTATCATCCTTGCAGTAGGGAATCACCTCATGGAGGCAATGAAGGGGGGAGTGTGAGAGACAGACAGACAGACAATGGCAGAGACAGACAATTGTAGAGACAGACAGACAGACAGACAGACAGACAGACAAACACACAGACAAAACCCGCAGACAGACAGGAAAGACAAGGAGAAGGAGAGCGTTGCGACAAACAAACCTGGTTGAACGAGTGCCCCAGCTGCAGATGAACCAAACCCGGCGGCCACGCCACCGCGTCCAGGCTCCGGTCGAAAGCGCTCCCGAGGGTCAACGACTTGAGACCGCGGGGAAGCACAACACCGTCGCCCAGGGTACCGTTGAAGAGGTCTCCCAGCACCAGTGTTTCCAAAGAAGGAGGCCAGGCGATCCCCTCAAGGGGATCGTTGAAGGGGCCCAGCAGCTCCAGGTGCAGCAGGGTCGGGGGTAGGGATACTTCGCGGAGGGGGGTGTCGAAGCAAGAGCCCGGTGGTTTTCCCGCCCAAAACCTTGCCGTGGCGGCAGCGGTGGCGGCGCCGATGGTGGCCGGCTCCGAGGCAGTGATCACAGCAGACCCGCCGGGCTTCTTTTTCTGCTGCGAGGGTCGGAGCGGGCAGCACCCGCCGCCGCCGCCGCCGCGGCGCGAGGGCCGATTCTCGAGGTTACTGGGGCCTGCGACCGAATCGTCATCGGGCGGGCTGCTGCTCCGAGCTGCAGCAACAACAACCTCCTCCTCGCCCATCTCCAGCGCCGTCAGTCGCGCCGGCCACACGACGCCGTCCAGGCTAAGGCCTAGGCCGACCACGACCCGTTGGATGTTGGCACGAGGGGACAGCCTGGAGGCCGCCGCCGCCGCCGCCACCGCCGCGTGTGTAGTTGTAGCCCGCGCCGCCGCCTTCGCCGCCGCCGTCGCCGCCCCACCACCCCCCGGCGGCGGTGTGTCCAGCCCATCTCTATCTTCTTCCACCCCCGCCCGCACAACAATGACGCCGGCCTTGCCGTTGACGGTGGTTGCGGCGGCGGCCCCCCGCCCCCCGCCCTCCCGCGTCGCCGCGGTCGTGACGGCCGGCAAGGCCGTGTGACCGACCCAGCCGCGGTCTTGATCTCCGTCCCCGCCGCCGCCGTCGCCGTCACCCCGGCCCCGCTGGGCGGATCGCTGGAGCAGCAAGCGGTCCCCACCGCGGAGGTGCCAGGACAGCAGCCAGGGCGGCATGCCCGGCGCGGCGCGCAGGGCCCACGGGGTCTGCTCTCGGCAGGCGTTGCACACGGCCAGGCACACCGTCTCGAGGGAGGCGGCGGCGGCGGCGGGGCCCGCGTAGCCCGAGACCCACACGATGGCCAGGATGTCGCTGGCCAAGATACCCGGCATGGTTATTCGCTACAGTCGGGGTCCCCGAATATGGCAGTGGTGGGGCAGCTGAAAATGACCGTCTTGTATGGGGCAGCCGCCTTATTCAAGTGTGTATTGTAGAACAACTTGACTTTTCCGTCTATGTCCGCCAATTTCACCCACCTTATTTTAGGGCGACTAATGTCGCCTTATTATTCAGGCCGCGTTATTCGAGGACGCCCACTGTACCGCTATGCTACAACGCTCTGGTGGCTTGGACGGATGGCTGGCTGGAGCATCCGCTCTTTTTTTTAGGAAAGGAAGCACGGTGGCTCGCGCGGCCCCTAAGCGCTAGACTCCTGACCACAGCTGTAGCCACCCGGCTTAAACCTTTTCAACGACGCCGGGTCGGTCACGACGGCTCCTGTTGTGGCAGAGATGCTTCGCTGGCGGTGCTAGTCGACTGAGACGATGGTTGGTGGTGGTGGTTCAATGCCTCCTCTCTCCCTGGTGCCGCACTGGTCACACGCACCGTGAACGCACAAGTCCCAGCGAATGAACGGCCCCAGACGACGCAGGCGGTGGCGACAACAAAGATCAGCCAACGGCGATTGGCAGCGACCCCTCCAAGCTAAGCCGCTCTCAGGGGGGAGGGGTCAAGGCCAAGGAAGTAGGTGCGTAGGCGTGACGTACCGTGGCCCTCGCCGCCATTCCCCTCCCGCCTATTCCACGGTGCAGCTGAGTTTTAGTACTTTCAAACAGTTGTAGCCAGCGTAGCGGTCGTGTTTGTCGTCGTAGTACGAAGGGGTTTCTCCCCCGAGAGAGGCGTTGTGGTTTTCCTTTCCAGACCTCGCTGCCGCTGAGGGTTGGGCTCTAACTTGGGAGGCGGCGGCGAGGTGTGTCTCTGGAGGGGGGGGGAAAGCACACAGGGAAAGGGGCGCGGCGGGTGGCCATCAGGCGACGAAAATCCTGAGACGCGAACAACGGTCCTGCACGTTACTGTATCCGAACATTATGTGGTGTACGCTAGTGGCAAAGTCGTGAGTTCGAATCCCCATGGGATGAAAAATTTACAAATTCTGCGGGTGAAAGCCCAAAAAAAAACTGAAAAGCTCTCGTGAGTACCAAACTTCGACGTTAGCACCGTTGACGAGGGAAAGGGACGCTGAATCCTTGTCGCGATAAAAAAATAAGTAAAAATTCAGCACGCACCACAGGAGGAAGGTGTGGCACGAAAACAAAACAAAAGAAGAAAAAAGCCCCGGTGTTTACCCCCTCCTGTGTGACGCTGGATTGTTGTACAGTGGTTCTACGAACGAAAATACTGAAAAGTGTACACGCTAAGGGCTATTGTTAACGCAACGAAAAAAACGCATTTTGTCACGGAACGGTGAAAAGAAGAACCGATTATTTTTCGCTTGTTCTATTCGTGATGTCATCGCGAAAAATACGTTTCCTTCCCTGAATACACGTTTTGCTCGACACACAACAGGTTGACATGGTATTGCTCACCATAGAGCAGCGGTGAAAGCGCAATGAGCAGCACCCGAAACAGAGGACAACACACTTAGAAAGATCCCGTCCACCTGGCCTGCTGTTTTCAGTTTTCAGCAACAACAGGCGCAGGGCAGAGTGTCGCCACCTGGGTGTTTCTTGCGATTTCTTCAGTTTGCCAGCTCATTTTTCACGGTTGCGACTCCCATCTTTGACCACCACCTGCCCAAAGGTAGACGAGCTCAACAATCATAGGGCGGCAGCCGCGCTGACGGCCACCATCATATAGATGGCCAATCCGAAAGAATTAGCGTGTCGGAGGCCCTGTTGCTCTACTTCTGCGTGGTGCCGTGGATTGATGTTGATGCGTCCGACCAAAAACAGATCATCTCGCCGCATTTTTTCCAACGGCATTTTGGTGAGGTGGCACACGTCTCTCACACACTTTATTGAGCAGCACCCAAGCACCCAATACCCACGAAGCAGCACGGCGCCGGGAGATGGTATCATATAGACAGCCGAACCGAAGGAATCAGCGCGTTGGAGGTCTTGGTGCTGCTGCTGTACTCGTTCTACGGTTTCCGTTTTTTCTATGTGTGATTGAAAAAAATCCCCCAGCACCAACAGCAGCAGTTGAAGACGAGAGCACCACGCAATGCCTAGTTTTGGGCCAAGAACGGACTGAACGCCGCTTCTGCCGCTTGTCCATCTCCACAACAGACCTGGACGTGAGTCTGGCAGGTCTTTCTAGCGTTCTCAGTGATGTTACAGCGCCCGCGGTGCGCTTGTCCGATGCTTCTGTCAAAAACACGGATTCGTGAAAGTAGCAAGCCCCAAAAAAAAACGGCTCCTTCTTTTCACGCTTTCGGGGAAAAACGCCTCCATATATGTTCAAGAAAACACGGTTCCGTTTTTTTTCATGTTTTATTGGTCGATAACAATAAATAGCCCTAAATACACTGAAATGTGTAGTACACGTGGTGTCACCACGAAAAATGGGGGGACTGTCGCCATAATAACGAAAAACGGGACGAAAACGCACGAAACACACACACACACAAACCCTTGAAAAAAAATTCGGATGTGTATCCTCTTGCGTCACCGCCGGCAGGCCCGAATCTAATGTCCCCAAGGGGTCTGTTTTCTATGGTTGTGTGTTCGTCCCATCTATCCTTACACCGGTTTACAGGTATTTCGGCGTATATAACTGACGTATCAACCGGAGTCACACAAGAGGAGGGGCACACAGGAGCTTTTCCCATTTTTTTTGTTTGGTTTATTGCCGCACCTTCCCCCCTGCGGTGGATTCCTTGGTTATTATCGCGAGAAGGGTGCACCAATCCCTTTCCCTCGTCGTATGCATAAGTTTACGAAGAAAGCGGGCGTTTGGTCGAAAGTCATCGGAGAACCCAACCTTCCCGAGCCGAGTCTAGCGCTACGCCTAGCCGTGGATGACACGAGGTCCGAGGCTCGCACGGGCGTTGAAGCGGGCGATGTTAGCCAGTCAGAGTCCCGTTCAGCCAGAGCCATGGGGCAAGGCCCCACTGGGTGCAGGGGGGGTCTGACCCGGCTTACGCAGCTGACACATGTTCTGCACTACTAGGCTAGTCTAGTGTCTGGGACAGTCTACGTACGTAACTGCTGTTCTTCTTCACTACGGCTGTACACACAAGAAAGACCAAGCTCTTCGTGCACAGGTGGAAGTGTCACGCCGAGCTCCACGGCCTTGGTTACCCATCTATCCATGGTCTCGACTGTCGAGGATACGTTGAATAAGACCGCGTGGGGGCCCCAATGGCGGAGGTTTGCGGGGCAATCTCAGCGCGGATGATGATGACGTTTTTCCGGCCACCGTCCAAGAAGATACCAAAGGGAGATACCACTGAAGAAGCCATTGACGGGCGTACCAAGCAATTCTCCATGCTGGATAAGTGAGAAACATGCGGTGTACTAAAGCACTCGCTGGTTGAAGCACAGCAGTGGCCCCTTGGCAAGCACCTACAATACAGCAGCTGCTGGAGTACGTACTAGAGCCCCATCCCCGAAGATCCTCCGTAGGTACGCAGAGCCACCCGGGACATTTTCTTTCGAGAGATAAAAAGGAGTGTGTCATGGGCACACGAAACACTACGTTCCCCCCCCAGATGCCCTTGTTCAGCTCTTCCGCACCCGCGGAATAGATTGCCAGCCTTTATACCGACCTCGCAAGTAGCCGTGGGGGTGAATGTCAAATGGTGATTTGGCATCAGATTTCTTTCAGCTGCGTCAAGCTGCGTACGAAATAAATATCCAACGCCCCGGCTTCCCCGACGGGAGCATCAGCCTGGTGGACATTTGCCTATCACAACTCGTGTGTGAGCGTGCGTACCTCTCTTACCGGTTTCGTTGGAGGGCCAGGCACTGGGCAGACACAGAAAGGCAGCAGCCGTCGGGTGTCAAGAGGCAGACCTAAAACAGCCTGCAGTGGTACGTAAGCACAGAGCACAGAGAGGTCTTTTTTAGGGGGGGTCGGCAACTGCGATCATTTAGGGAGCCCGCATTATGAGAATACGTAGGCCTTCCAAGAATTGGAACTCCAGTCCATAGAGGAAACCTGCGCGCTGTTGAGCGAGAACATCAACAGTTGACTTTGGCAGTACTCCCCGCCGGCACTTGGGCTCCCTTTCCTTCTCGCTGGGCGCCGCTGCAGACGTCACACCCGCGTCTGTTCTCAATGAAGTCGTCAGTGGTTCCCAACGGCGGATGGAGGAGAAGAAGGAGGCCGAGACACCTCCGTGGACGACAGCAGTGCTGCAGCAGTGAAGTCACCATCACGACTGCTGCAATGGTCGTGGTCGTCGTAGTATCCTTCCTGTCTCTCTCTACGACGGTGATCGCCGACGCTGTCTCCCGTGCAGCAGCTCGTGGCTGTCAGCCCACCATCACTAGCAGGTGGGTTGGTATACTGAGTGCTGCTGTGCTGCTGCTGCTGCTGCTGCTGCTGGCGTGAAGGAAAAAAAACAAACGCGTGACGTTTGCATACGTACACAAACGTTGGTATGGGTACGCATGCCGCCGCAGGCTCCTCCCCCCGCACAACCAACCTTTTTCCGGTTGCCCCTGTGACGTACATACACACACCTGTGCATGCCCCCCCGGTGGCTCTGCCTGGCACTGCCTCGCCTGCCAAGACGCGGGACCATGACACCCTAAGTTCTCGCCGCTGGGCGCCTTTTTGGTTCAACAGCAACTGCAACTTTGAACATCGCTGCCGCCGCCGCTGCCAGCCTCTCCCCGCCATGGCCCAATTCCACAACAACAGCAACAGACGGTACCAACCCCAGAGGGGGGGAGCGGACACTGCACTCACCGCTGTACCCCCGACCGAACTAAGAAATGATAGGTTTCACTGCTGCAGGTCCGGTTCACTCTCACGTTTTTTAGATTGACCCTGTTCACACATGCAACATTTTCATGGAAATGTTTCCAATTTCCGAACGAAGATGAGTATGTACATTAGACGCTACTGCTGTATGCATAGGTACCGCCGTATGTGTGACCTCGGAATGTGATGATCCGTTGGGACCCCTTCACTACAGCAATACAGGGAATGGAGGCAATGCGGTCACTTCTGGGTACCCTTCGGATGAAACAAGCGTCGAGACCATCGACCCTCGCTCAAGGAAACTATTAATATTCTTGTTTGAGGATTTATGCACAGCTCCGTAAATGGCCGACTGAGCCCGTCAAATGAAACTAACTGCTGTATGCGGTGAGACGGGTCATTGTGATACGTACCATACCCATACCATGCTCCGGTACGATCTCGAGAGTGAAATGCTGTAGACGGGCGAATGACCTCATCCACAGACGGTGTCCGAGGCTTTGCTCCACTCACAACTCGATCCCTTTCGCTCGAATCAATACATCGAACAGCGCAGGTTCACCTTTGTTGTGCACTAGAAACACACATAGTTCATCCGAACGCGTTGTTCATCCGAGCGCATGGGACTAACACCGGCGTGGTCGGTGTGGCTCTCGCTTCATCTGCCGTACCAAAACTACGTGTACGAACATAAGGGAAAAATACTTATTCTCAAACAGGCCAAGCGAAAGCCGAAGATAGCCGAAGAAGTTCTTCGCTCCCCTCTCCATTCACCGACCGCTCGGCTATCACTGCTTCTGCCTAGTCTTGCCGGGAAGTTGCTGAGGGCACTAGCTGACTATTTCTTCTGTCTAGCCTTATCGGGAAGTTGCTGAGGGCACTGGTTCTACAATGCTTCTGTCCTAGTCTATCCGGAAGTTGCTGAGGCGCGCCGGTTCCCCAATAGACTTCGCGCAAACGCTTCCCCCAAAGTCCGATACAACCCCATCCCATCCCATCTCGCTGTACCGCGGCAGGCGTTTGTCAACAAAAGAAACGGCGTTCTCTGTCTGCGGGCAACAACGACTACAACGACGACGACGACGACAACGACATAAAAAATTACCACCGCATATGTCGTCATCCCCTGGCTGTTTCCACGAGCGACTACCCCCTTCGCTAGGCACGGCCACGGGCCTTACAACGGCGGCGCCGCTGCGCAGGCTTTCCCCCCGCCCACCGTTGCTTGTACCGGAGGTATCGACGAGGATGCGTCCGACGACAGCAGGGAGGGGCGGTCGAGGCCGAACCACCGAGGTGGCATGCCGCGCGGTGGTTGAGGAAAACCAGACGTCTGGCCAGGTGCGCAATCAGTTCAGGGGGTGACTTCTGCTTGTCTTGGCCTTTCTTCGCCCACGTTGTACTTATATGTCATGATCGTAACATCACATCGTGAGGTGGTAGGACACGCAGGACACACACATGGCTAGCGTGTCGCGGGGGGCTGCGACATGTAGATTGTAACTCCAAGATGCGAGGGAATTCAGCTATTTTAGCTAACTTCGCCATCCTCTAGGCCTAGGTTTCTCTAAGATCAACCATGTATCTAAATATACATCAAGCGCTGTGGCTGGCTGTGTGTACGCGCAAATAAGTTGGATACTGGTCGAGAGAGGTAGCAACAGCAGCGGCTGAAGAACGTTATTCTCAAGCGTGGGGACCGCCTACATAGGTGGAATGGTTGGGTCGGAGAGTGTTAAATACGTTTTGTTGTCCTGTATCTGTTGTGCGTCCCAGTTTAGGGTGTCACAACTTCAATGTTGTGGTGCTTCTGCCCGCTGCCTCAGGAGGCTCGTATTGGTTTTCGATCCGATCCGTGGAACCTAATCGGGATCAAGGCATTTTGCTGTGCCTCGTTTGCCCTCTCTTTACTTCTTTGGCGTGCCTCTTAAAACTCTACCCTGTCTCTAAACGCGGGTTTCCTGATGCACAATTCCCAGTATTTGTTTAAACATGTCCCCTCCCCCCTATCCCCAAAGGGCATGGCACGATCCCGGTTCCCCGGCCCCCACGTCTCTACGTGCATCTCTGTTTTCCTCTCCATCATGCGTCCACCTCTACATACCCGACACACCTATCGATGCCCCCCCCCCCAACCTTGTTGATTGCGTGTTAAACTCAAAGAACGGACGTCCCAACTCCATCGCCGATCAGCAAGAAGGCTCCGCCAGCGGCCTTAAGGGCACGCCGACGCTGCCGCGCGCTCACGAAGGAGAAGGAGAAGAGGGGGAACGGCTTCCTGACGGGTCTCTGTGGGAAGGGATCGGGGAGGGGCTGTCGGGGGTGAGGCGTTGTTGTTGTTGGTAGAGGGGAAGAGGACAAATAGTAGGAAGAGGGAGGAGTAACAGGCGTTGGCAGAGATGGAGTCAGACAGAGGGGGTGTGTGAGAGAGAGAGAGAGAGTACTGGTGACAGGCGTGGAGAGAGATAAGAGCCAGACAGAGGGAGAGGGGAGAGGTAGGGAGAGAGCGGGAGTACCGGATACGATACGGTACCATCCAACACCCACCCTTTGGACGGGTTTCGTGTAACATTCGAGGGGTCGGCTAGTCTGATCGAATCGCTTCCCCCAGCCGTTGCGCACCCAAGCTGACCATCTTTGGCGGCTCTGGTGGGCTTTTCCGCCGATTATTCCGCTTTAACTGGTGCTCCACTTTTTTTACGGCTTCTTCCCTCTGCCGCAACTACAAGTAGTACAAGTATACGTTTGATTCTTACATCCGGCCCGCGCCCTTTTCTTGCGTAACGTCGCCACAATAGGCTTTCCTGCACGCGCAGCAAGGTTTGGAGGAGCTCAACCTCCTGGGGGTTGGAGATGCCTTCTGGCTTAACTTCGGTCAGATGGACGTCCCAGAGGTGCGGAGCCTGCCAATGAGAAGTTTGCTTGCCGTAGGAGAGGTGGTTGATGATTTTTGGCTAAAGCGCTAATGGACCAAGCACTCCCCCCCCCCCCCCCCCGAATCATTACTCGTGTTGCCGTCGGGACTTGGCGTGACCCCTCGGCCCTTTCACATCCCCCCGCCTTCGATTCTCCGTAGCTCCTGATGCGTGACTCCCGAAACAATAGCCTCGCGACGCTCCGTACCCTAATGCTTGTCGCGCCACGGTTTGCCGCGTGTCCGCGGGTGACAACAGCTCCCCACCCTGTCGGACCTACGCATCTTCGGCCTCTCCTGGCCACCGCCGCCGGCGCCGCCCCCGCCCCCGCCGGCCGCAAGAGAACCAAAACTCCAACCCGCGAGCGCGGCACCGGCGACCACCGCGAACGGCGAGACGGAAGGGCTTAGCGGCGGCGGCGAGAGCGTAACAGGGACGATAACGGGAGAAATTAAGACGCGGGGGTTGACCAGGAGGCTTCCTCCGTGGCGACGGGGGCGGCCAAAGACGGACGGCGGAGTCGGCAGGACCCCAGCAGCGGCGGCGGCGGCGGTAGACTCCGCTTCAGAGGAGGGGCAAGATCGGCCGATCACGAAGGCGGGGCGGTGGAGGAAGGTGGGCGCCCTGGCCGGGCTACGGAAGCGACTTTCCTTGTACGGTACTCATGGCGGTGGCGGGGCGACTAGTGGCCAAGGCCACTTCGAGGTAAGAAGCAGAGCTTGTGAGTGTGGCGTTTAGGTCCAGGCTTGGGGTAGAGCGACGGAAACGTGACCGATCACCCCGCCCGGTATAGCGGAGGCGTTCTTCGAGCTGCTGTCGCCAGGCGGCGGTGCGTGCTTTCGACCGACAGCGCGGAAAGGGCCTGTCACAAATAGATGATGGTTTGGCAGGCGCGAGGGCCCTCTGATCTGCACGTCGTCGTCGTTACGATTGCCGTCTACCGCCGCTTTTTGTGGCTTCCTCTTGGCAACAGTTCGGGTGGTTCTAATACCTCGACGGCCCCCCGCCGCTCGATGCTTTCACGCGGTCGAGGTTCTCACATCATATGAATCCCTCTGCCCTCCCCCCCCCCCCGCCGACATCGATTCTCAGGGGACCAGCCCGGTAACCGCTGGCGCGCCCGCAAGCGCCGGCGGCCGGTGGTGGTTCGCTCGTAACGGCGCCGGGGAAGGAGAGGTGCAACCCCAGAAAGGCCGCCGCGGCGGAATCGCTGCTGGCGGCAAGAGCGGAGGTGGAGGCAGTACGCGAAGTATGCAGCGGAAGGGTAAGGATCCGTCCGTCGGGTTGTCTGCGCCGGGGAAGCTTGAGCCCGCGGTGACACCGGCGGGAAAGTCATCGTCCAGGACGTTGACGCAGCAGCAGTTGGATCGCGCTGGCCAGGCTCTAGTCGACCGCCGCAACAGCTCTCCCAAGATCTCGCCGCCGCCCGGCGGGGGTGGTAAGGACAAGGGCAAGAAGCAGGCCGGCAGCAGCATGCGCGAGAAGAGGAAGTCGGCCGGACCTGCGGGACCGCCGACATCGAGCAAAGGTCAGGTTGCTGGGCGTGCGAATGTCGGTGAGCCGCCGCGAGGCGGCGGGGGGGGGGATAAGGCAGTGCCCGAGGCGGACAAGACGAGCAGCAAGGGGGAGAGGAGTGTCGACAACGGTGGCAAGGCTGCTGCTGCTGCTGCTGCTGCTGCTGCTACGGCCCCGACCCATTTCATTCCGAAGGTAGGCCTTGGTGCGAGTGTTTCTGTCTCTGCAGAGGAAATGGTTTCGTCCACACAGCTCCTCCCACGTGTAAGCAGACTAAATGTGATCGTGTGTTCCCTTGCCTGGCTTTGTGTGCGGGGGCAGGAGGATGCTTGGCATCGCGCAGGGAACATGAGAGCGGAGGGAGGAGAGGTCCATGTGCTGTGTGTAGATTCTGCGTGCGAAGGAGCACGTGTTCGCATCACTACCGTAGGTGACAGAACAACCAGCCCGCAACAACACCAAGCCAGATGTACCCCTGTCTTCTCCCCGCACCCGCCTCAAGCGTTTCTTCGGTTTCAATTTTCCCTCACCATTCTGTTTCCACCCCCCCCCCCCCCCCCCCCCCCCCCCCCTGCGCCCCCCCCCCCCCC